CAACTATAGTCACTATGTTGTACATTTTCTACTAACTGAAATTTTATGTCCTTTAACCAACATTTCTGCAACCACCTGACACCCAGCCCCTGATAACCTCCATTCTATGTTCTGCTCCTATGAATTCAACATTTTTTAGGTTCCACATATAAGTGAGATTATGTGGTATTTGCTTTTCTGTGTCTAGCTTATTTCACTTAATATAATGTCCTCCAAGTTTATCCACGTTGTTGCAAGTGACTACAGTTTCCTTCTTTTTTAAGGCTGAATAGTATTTCATTGTCTGTATATACCATATTTGCTTTATCCATTCATCCATTGAAAGACAGGTTGATTCCACATGTTGGCTATTGTGAATAATGGTGAAATGACATGGGAGTGCAAATATCTCTTTGACATGCTGATTCCATTTCCTTTGGCTATATACCCAGAAGCGGAATTGCTAGATCAAATGGTGGTTTTATTTTTATTTATTTATTTATTTATTGAGGAACTTCTATACTGTTTTCCATAGTGACTGCACCATTCTACCTCCTCACCAACAATGTGTAAGGTTTCCCTTTTATCCACATTCTTGCTAACACTTATCTTTTGTCTTTTTGGTAATAGCCATTCTAACAGATGTGAAGTGATATTTCATTTTGGTTGTAATTTGCATTTCTCTGATGATTAGTGATATTTAGCATTTTTTTGTATAACTGTTGGCCATTTTTATGTCTTCTTTTGAGAAATGTCTATTCAGGTTCTTTGCCAATTTTTTAATCAGGTTATTTGTTTTCTTCCTCTATGGTTGTTTGAGTTCTTTATATATTTTAGATATTAACCTCTTATCAGATGTATGGTTTGCAAATATTTTCTCCCACTCTGTAGATTCTCTCTTCACTCTGTTATTTCCTTTGCTATGCAAAAACTTTTTAGTTTGATGTAACTTCATCTGTCTGTTTTTGCTTTTGTTGCCTGTGCTTTGGGGATCCTTTCTAAAAAATTATTGCCCAGGTCAATGTCATGGAGATTATCCTCTATGTTTTCTTCTAATAGTTTTATAGTTTCAGGTCTTACATTTAAGCCCTTAATCCATTTTGGGTTGATTTTTGTATATGTTGTGAGGTAAGGGTCTAAATTCATTTATCTGCATGTGGATATTCAAATACCACTTATTGAAGAGACTTTCCTTTCACCATTGTGCATTCTTGGAAAACTTTGTTGACAATAAATGCTTGGATTTATTTTTTTGGCTCTCTACTCTCTTCCATTGGTCCATGTGTCTGTTTTCATGCCAGTACCATGTTGTTTTGGTTACTATAGCTTAGTA